GAGCGCCGTAGAAGTGATCGTGAAAGCCGCTGGTTCTAGCTTCGACGAAGACTGGGATCGCTTGTCCCACTCGCCACCACTCTGAGGTCGCGTCGTCCGTTTTGTTTCTGGGAAAGACATGGCGCAACGACGGGAAGAATCGCGAGAGGAACGAGGCCACTGCGAGATGAGATGAGATGGGAGAATGACAGACATTTAGATATGTCAACGAGTTCTGAGTGCAGTCGGCGATCATCCCATCGGGGAGACGCGTAGAAGTCGCGTCCACCAAAACAGAGAGCCATTTTAGACTGGAGCAGTAGCGCGCAAGCCATATTAGCGCGGATATGGTGATTTTTGGGGTCACAGGCTCGGTGCCCAGGTGTCCGATCAAGGAAAGGCTTTCGAGGCGCGGAAGCGCAAGCATGTCGAGTTGCAGGTCGGTGAGCTCGACAAAAAGAAAGATGGGAAGCAAAAGAGCACGAGAGAGCGGAATTGTCGCAGTCAGGTCGCATGGCGAAGTTACGGACAGTACACGGAGGGATCGGGGAGTGCAACAATTGGGTAAAGTCAGGAAGAAGTTTTGGAGGGATTCCCGAACTGCATGTGCCTGAACACGGATCTCGACGAGCTCAGCATTGCGCAGAGAACCGAGGACGTTTGTGGCGAACGTGATATCCGACAAATGGTGAAGATCCATCGATTTTAGCAAGGGTGTGTCGAAGTCCTGATTGTATGCCATCGAAAGCTGTGCGCTCGAGCGACTACGGATGACGAGTGTTCGGAGGCAGGGAAGCACGAGAGCGGCGAGCACGATGTCGACGTTAGGGTATTCCATGACCTGTACATCCTCTAGAGCGTCCCATCCCGACAGGAGGTCGGCGATCCAGGCGTCGGTCGCGTCGGGCCTTAAACGGAGCGTGGTGATGTGATGGGAGTGCTGGTCCTTGATCATGAAGAGGATAGTTTCCAGAGAGGGCGCCAGAGGCTGCGTTGAGGCGAGATCGTGAGGTACGGATGCCATGTCGGAGTTTGACATCAGGCATATCGAAAGCTTGGTGGTCGATGAGGTTACGAGGCGGAGCAGAGAGAAGAGGAATGTCGAAGGGCCGAAGAAATCCAAGTCACGGAGGTTGGGGAAGAGAACGCCGTCACCACCTAGGGAATTCATAATATCTGCTAGAGAGCTGGGAGAGAATTGAAGCAGGTCCGGGTGTGCGTTAAGCTCGAAGCGGCGGACGAATTTTGCATACTGGCATATCCTTTCCGCATCGCAGCCCTCGAGTGGTCGCTTGATGTACTGTCAAGGCGTCAGCGTTGAGCCAGACGTCTTGCCATATCACGCACGACTTCGGTTCCTTCTTCCGCGCCTGGTCTATACGACCACGCTGATGCGGGTAGCAGTCGTAGGACAGATGTGAAGTCGTCACAATTCGACCAGAGGACGCAAAGAGCCGGCTCGTGGAGTTCCTTGCAAGTTGCCGCTAGAGATCCCAGTGACGGTAATTCGAGCTGGTCCAATATCATCGCACGAAGCTCTTCCGTCTGTAGGACGGTGACGTGCATTTTGGCGATGCCGCTTGGTGTGGTGCTTCAGACAGACTGCAAATGTCGCGCTACGCTAAAAGCGATTCTGAGTTGGTCGCCGATACATCATTCAAGAGGATTCACATACCAATTGAATGACAGTCGAGCAGGCGAGGTCTTTTGCCGCGAAGCCAGAGGTTGAGAGCAAAGAGCGGGCCGGTTACCGTTTTGGCGAGATCGGCACGTGAGGTCACCTGCCTGATATTCGATTTCGGTCGAATCAAACGAGAACACAAGACAGCTGTTACTTATCGGAGTGCATGTCAATCTGCGCGTGAGTCTAAATGTTACATACATGAACAAGCGCCCAATGCTACATCCCAAAATGTCTAATAAATCACGTAGCGGAAGCATACCCTACGCCTCAAATGCCCAGAACCTGCGCCGCCTCCGCATCGCGGTCTCGTATATACGCACTCGTCTGCCAATTGTAGCTGTCCACCGTCATCCACGACATACGCTTCAGCGCGTCCATCTTCTCCCAGCCCTCCGGCAACGTGAAGACCTTGTTTATCCTGTCGTTCAACTCGTCGTCGTCCTCGTCGGCGGAGCCATCCACCTCGAGAGCGTCCAAAGCGAAGTTGTACACTCGCCCCTGCAGCGTCGAGCGTTCTTGAACGTGGTTCGCGACGGGGACACGCAGGAGGTTGTAGAGCGCGGCAGCGACGCGGACGGGGTCTCGTTGCGTCGCGCTATCTTCGTGACCTGCTTTGGCGAGCGCCTTCGCAAAGCACTTGCCGAGAACATAGGCGTCCTGTGATGCGGTATCTTAGCAAGGGATACGATCACTGTGGCCGAGAGTAGAGCGGCTCACCTCGACGCCCTGTCCGGCGCCTGCGCCCAGATGTTGGGACATGGCATGTGCCTGCATGGTATGTCAGTCCATGCCGAGTGAGGGCAGTCGTTTGTGCGGATTAGGGAAGCATTCAATGAGTAGAAGGAAGAGATACATCATGCAAGGTAAAAAAAGATTAAATGATACGCACCGCATCGCCGAGGAGGATCACTCGCCCCGCCGTATATGTTGGCAGCCCGGCCAGCGTCATGATTGGCCACCGTCCGAGAGGCTCCATGAGCTGATGAGTGCGCATGAGAATGACGGACGAACACGACGCAAACGACTAGAGGATCTTGACGGGGCCAGTAAGAATGTTAGCGACCACCCTCCTGTCGCGCGGACAGTTTCGGGACATCGAAGCGATACAGACAGCCTCTCGCATGCACGCAAAAGATACGAAGCGCACACAACGTACCTCGATCAGGACCCTCACCTCGTCCTCCCACCCTTCAAACATCTGCAAAATATCCGCCGTGCTCGCTTTCGCCGTCGTCGCATCGTCTAAATGTGTCCCCGCCTTCGAATAATCGGAGAAGTTTGGGACAATGTTGACGTACTTGCCCTGCGCTATCGGATAGCTGGTGATATGCTGGAATATTTTAGGCAATTAATTGGCGTAGGGAACGTGAGGGGAGGTAGATCGCGCGCCTTGCATTTCCCGACGTACTGTACGATGCGTTAGTGCCTTCATAATCCGTAGCGTCAAGATACAAACAGACCTGAGACGGCGTGCTCAGCGCCGGATGTCCGGGCCACCTCTCCGCCAGGCGCGCGGCGTCGACAAGCCCCCGGAAAGCATATGTGCCGGTCCACACGGGATCTGCGCGCTCCGCAAAGAGCCTGTTCATCTCGGAGTGGGACGCCATCTCGCGAGCTGTGTCCGCCATCCTACTGCGTACGCTCGAGCGCAAACCATCCGCCCCGATAAGAACATCGCAAGTGGCAGACGTGCCGTTCTCGAAACGGAGGTGTATTTCGTCGCCGTCTTCCTGGAAGTCGGCGAGGCGGTGCGAGAGGTGGACGCGGGCGGCGGGGGTCAGTCGACGGAGGATCATGCCCTGGAAGTCCGCGCGGTGGAACAGCATCATGGGGCCTGGGGGGAATGTTTTAGAATGGGACCGAGGGGAGCTGAATGCATGCACGCACCGTGGTTCAGATACATATCATGGATATGAACGCCCTCCTTCTGGTCGCTCTTCCGCAAGCGCCAGGCTATCAGCCAGCATTGTCGTCAGCCATGATATGGCGTGCCAGGAGGATTAGCCGTACCTAGTGTATGCTTATCCATCCCTTCATAAGGCGCTAGCTCCTCTGCGAGGCCAAGGTCGCGCAGCATTGCGAGCGTGCGCGAGTACATCCCGATTCCCGCGCCAGCTTGATCGAGAAGGGGAGCAGCCTCGAAGACTGAGATGTCCAGGCGGTCAATGTCGCAGAAGCGTTCCAAGGCAAGGACGAGGGAGAGACCGCCTATTCCGCCACCTCTGTAGCCGTCAGGAAGAGATCTACGCGCCGATCATGGAGAGAGGACGTACACGATAGCGATACGAAGCTTTGGTGAAGAGGCAGCCATAACACAAGTCGTCGATAAGAGCGCGACTGGACGAAGAACAACACGGCAAGCGGACGAGAGCCGTTGAAGGGCGTGAAGCAGATGGGAGAAGGAGATAAAGATTCGTGAATGGGACGTCGTTACGGAAGCGGAGCCGCGGTAGTATCTAACGCAGCGGATGATAGGTGCCCTCCATCATGCATGTTCGCGTCGCACGTCTATCATCAGATGAAGCATTGCGCGGGCGAGGTCGTCAGACCCTGGGAGAATGGCGCGCTCACGCCGGTCTAGAGCCCCCGGCGCTGTCTCTCAGGCTCTCACACGCTCAGCGCTGTCTCGTCGCTGTTTGCGGGCCCGCCATTAACGCCCTACCGCGGTCCAGGGCGCCCGCCCGCGACTCCGGACGCGAGGGCGGCGACATTTGCGGGGTAGTCTAGATTGACGACGTTCGGTAAGCGTCCTGATATCAATGCTGGACGAAGGGTCCTGGACATGGCGCGGGGATAATTGAATCCTGCCATTGTCATAGCGTAGCGCGTATGTATGGCTCCAGAGCCGCGTACGACGGGACGGCGTCCAAGTGTTGTACCGGGCAATACAGATCTGCTGGAATGAAGGGGATGCTCACGGCGAAGTCGGAGACGAGTGACAGTGAGGTGCCGATCGCGCCATTCCAGATGAGCGCGGTGTTGAACTTGTGGCACTGCGGCAGTGGGCCAATTGACCACATATGTTCGCACGGTGCGAGAGTTTGTGGCGTCCGTCGTGTTTCGCTTGGGGACAGGTAAGTACTAAGTACCTGTGGCTCGAGAGCTCTAGTACGGGAGCAGCCACCGTGACGCTTGGCAAATATTCCATAGGGGAGCTTGTTCTGTAGTACGGTAGAGCGCTGCGAAAGAGATAAGTAGATATGTAGTGTATCGTACATTGATCGTCCAGCATTGTCCGACAGTTTACAGACGGCCTGATGGTAAGAGCAGTACTCCATCGCACTGTGCCCCCTGGTGAGACTAGAATCCAAAAAATCCACAGAGCGTTGGAGGTCACTCCTTCCTGCCTGGTTCGAACAGGCGACCCCCAGATGATAGTAAGTATCCCGTTACAGTCTGATGCTCTTCCAACTGAGCTAAGGAAGGTGTGGCGATGCTGAGGAAAGTGTAGTGGGACGGCGGGTGGGCGAGAGTCACAGCTTCTCGCCGGTGAGTAGAAGATTTGAATCGTCTGGCTCATGGGGTGATGAAAGTGAGAACGGCGCATTCGAGGCCTGCACCGGAGTGGCAGTGGACGATCGCGGCTCGATTTATCTGCGGTGCCTGGACGTAGAAGAAAGCGAGCGAAGATACTGCAGGCCATATAGCGGTAGCTGGGACGTTCGTGAAGAAGACGCGGCCGCGCGAGCTGGAAGGTGTACGCCGTATGGTTCGGGACAAGGTCAATATAGACTCGAGGGGTTCAAGAAGGAACAATGTTGGCGGGTGAAATCGACGGACTGGCTCGAATTTGACGTCGTGAGTGCGAGAGGGGAGGGAGACGGCAAATATGAACTAGGATCCATGGCTGAAGGCCACAGGCAGCGGAGAGTGAGCGCCGTCGAATTGTGAACAGGGTATGGAAGGGTGAGAGATGATGGAACGAGGAGGTATGACGCGGATATGATGAGCTGTGCATGGCCGCTGGAGTCCGTCGCGCGGGGATTTCAGAGTGAAGCGAACATCATCTATGGTCAGCGTTAGACCTGCTCCTTGCGGCAAGAGGAAGGCCGCCGAAGGCGCGCACCTTCATTGCATTATCCCGCGGTTCGGTGGCGTCAGGTTCGGTTGATACAATAAGTTCAGGCGTAATACGGCTTAGTAAGCCGTAAGTATATCGGTCGACGCGCTTTGTATGATGAGAGAAACCGCAACCCTGAGTCAGGAATGCTCAGTGCTGTACGAAGGAGAAGGCGAAGGATAGCATCAGTGCCATCACCAGGCCATCTGTGATTCACAGTCCGGCCGACGGCCCGGGGACACGTGTGACCCACGATGATGCCATCGGATGTCCGAGGACATGCTTCCCATTGTTCACCACAGCCGCGTGCTCATTGCGCGAGCACTGTACTTTGTCAGTGCCTCCACAGCTAGTCTTTTGATCCTGCCGCCTCCGTCCTCGACCTCTACATTACTTTTTTGAAGTTGTTCACGCAGTCCGAGATCGCTACTTCCGGCCCCCTGCGGCGTTGCTCGGTAAACTCACGATACATAGGCGCTCAAGCAGCGTCGAAGCTCGACGTTCACCATGCCATCCATGGACAAGGACATTGAAGACGACAAGCTGAAGCCGTACGTCGTAACTGGTCACCTTGGCAAGGGCAGCTTCGCCATCGTCTACAAGGGGTACAATGAGGTGCGTGCCCTACCATGTTCAACGCTCTCGGCTGACCTATGTCAACTCAGGAAACACACAAGCAAGTCGCCATAAAGACTGTCAAGCGCGAGACCCTCGGTACTGGCAAGCTTCTCGACAATCTTCAGCTCGAAATCGAGATCCTCAAGTCCCTCTCCCACCGCCACATCACACGGCTCCTCGAGATCATCGTGCGTCGCCTGCTAACTCTCCTTACTAATACTTATCCCTCCATCGTCCAGCGCGCCGACAAGAACATCTACCTCATCATGGAGTTCTGCGCCGGCGGCGACCTCACTAACTACCTCAAGAAGCGCGGCCGCGTCGAATCCCTCGAGTACTCCCCCTCCCCCGGCGCCGCTCCGCAGTACTACCCGCACCCGCGCTCCGGAGGCCTCGCCGAAATCGTCGTCCGCTCCTTCCTCCGCCAACTCGCCCGCGCACTCAAGTTCCTCCGCCACCGCAAGCTCATCCACCGCGACATCAAGCCCCAGAACCTCCTCCTCCACCCCGCGGGGCCCGACGAGCACGCGCGCGGCCACCCCCTGGGCGTCCCCGTGCTCAAGCTCGCCGACTTTGGCTTCGCGCGCAGTCTGCCGAACGCGATGATGGCGCAGACGCTGTGTGGGAGCCCGTGAGTGGGTTTGTTTGGGGCTGCGTGATGAGGGAGAGCCATGGAGCTGACTAAGGCGCAGGCTGTACATGGCGCCGGAGATCTTGAAGTACGAGCCGTACGGGCCGAAGGTCGACTTGTGGTCCACGGGGGCCGTGCTGTACGAGATGGCCGTCGGACGACCACCGTTTCGCGCGCAGAATCATATCGAGCTGATTAACAAGATTGAGCGGTCGAAGGGGATCAAGTTCCCGGATGAGGAGCCGCAGGTATGCATATCTATCCAACAGGTGACGAGGGTGTTTACTTATCGGCACGCTCAGAAGACCACAAACACCGACGCACAGCCTGTACCTCAAGACATCAAGGATCTTATTCGTGCTTTGCTGAAGCGCCTGCCGGTGGAGGTGCGTCGAGCGCCTTGTGTACCACTCCACTGAATCGAACAAGGCCATCAGCGAGCAGACTATGAACAGTTCTTCGCCAGCCCCGCGATGCAGAACAGCAAGTTCTCAAGACCGGTTGCGAAGGAGAAATCTTCTATTTCAGAAGGTCAGTACCAGCGTTTGTCGGTACCAGCTTTGTCAGCAGTCCACTATCGACGAGTCACAGCACGTCGCTCCTCGATCTTTCTCGCCCTCGCGGCTCCCATTTCGTTGTCTTCTTCATCATTCACTCACCCATCTCCCGCAGACACCTCCGAACGCAGGTGGACAAGCGGCGTACCCGAGCACCACAAGATCATCCCGCCAGAGGTCTTGGACCCGAATGCAATGATCCCGCCTAGCAAGTTCAACTTCCGTCGACCGTCGGGTGGGGTGAGATCGGTGGTGGGTGGTGCGAGGGAGGCGAGGGAGGTGGTGGGGGGTGCGAGAGCGGGTGACGATGTTGGCAACGAAGCAGGTCCTTCGACTGAGCGAAAGTGGGTCGTGCTTCCTTCCCAGAATGGTCTAGTTAACTTACGGTTACGTGTGAGCTCACCGCCAGGCGGCGGCGGTCTATCAAAACAACCCTCTGGCATGTCAAGACAAACCTCCGGCATGTCAAGACAACCGTCCGACATGTCCAGACAAGCAGCCCCTGGCCCCTCTCGAACGCCACCAAACAGCACCCGGGTGCCCGAGATCGAGCCAGCAGACGTAGCCGCGGAGACGGAAGAGTACGTCTTGGTGGACGATACCCGAGCGCTGGAGTTCGACCAGGCTGTTGATCGTATGTGGCATGATGTTCTCGTTCATCGTTTGATTTCTCATGATGACATCGTGGACAGAACTTCGAGAACCGCCCCGACGACCCTCGCAGACTGGGCGAAGGGCGTCGGCTCAGCAGTATCAGGCGCCTCAACCTCATCTGCAGCCGCGGCGAGTTTCGACGTATGGCGTATCGAGGCCTGAAGATGTGCAGGCCCCTGATCATTCGCGGAAGCATGAGCGTACGGGGAAACCCCAACATCGGCGGTCGTCGACCTTTGCGGGTCAGGGGACGCCTCCATCGGGCTCGCCGACACTGGGTGACGGCCCGTCATCTGAGTTCATGGCGGAGCGGCCTATGACGACAGGTGTGTTTTTGATCATGCTTTGGGAAGACCTTTCTTTTGCGCGGTCGCCTTGCATTTTCTTCTTCGCCTCTTGCTCATCCCTGCCCTCCTTGCCCAATCTCCCTTTCTGACACTGACACTGACACCTTCTATAGTCATCACCACGTTCCCACCCGCACCCAGCAACGGAATCCCGCCACCATCCCCGGCGCTCTCCAGCTCACCCTCACGCGCGGCCGCCAGCGCCCTCAATCGCGCCCTGAGCCTCGCTAGTAAGACACTGTTCGGAAGCGCGGCGCCGAGGTCGGTGGGGGAGTATATGCCGCCGTCATCCTTGGCACCATCGCCCGCGTCGCGCGCAAACAGTGCCCTCGCTGTCCCTGCCGCCTCTACCAATACTGGAGACCCGGCCGCGGCAGACGCCGATCTCGCCTCGTCACCCCGGCGTCCGCAACTGATCCGCACGACGACTGACGAGGAGCGCGACCCGCTGGAGGATGCGCTGCTTGCGCGACTCGAGGAGTTGGCGCAGAAGACGGATGTGCTGATGCATTGGGCGGACGAGTTATACGAGCAGGTGAAGGCGGTGCCGAGGAGTGCGTACGGCTTCTTCTTTTCAGTCCATTGGGAGGTTTTGTGGACTGATGTGTGGATTAGAGCCCTGGTTGGACCCGACCGAGGTCGCGGAGGAGCGGCGACCCGCGGATGCGAAGGCGGAGTACGATGCGGTGCGTAACGAATACTTGGGTCTAATTTGGAAAAACCTGATCCAGCTGACGGAATGACTACAGGTCACTTGTGTGGCGGTTTATATGCTCTTGATGAGCTTCGCGCAGAAGGGTATCGATCAGTTGCGGCGGTATCAGGAGGAGATGCTGGATCAGGAGCGGGAGGGGGAGTACGTCGTCAGTGAGGGGTTCGATGATGGTAAGTGTCTCGTTTTGAAGTGTCTGCGACGTTTAACTGACTGGTTACCTGTCTGTCGGTGCAGCTCTATCCTGGTTTCGCGACTACTTCTTGAAGTGCCACGAGCGCGTGAAGCTGGTCAAGGCCTGGTTGCCCGCCAACTACGACGGGCCGAAGACGTGGCTGGACCAGCTGGTGTACGATCGCGCGTTGACCTTGGTATGACATTGCTGCTTCTCTTCCACGTTTTGCTAGCTTCTAAATCTCAATCAGAGCCGCACCGCCGCTCGCAAAGAGCTCCTCGACCAGGCCACGGCGCCGGACGAATGCGAAAAGCTCTACGAGGAGTCACTCTGGTGTCTGTACGCGCTGCAGGACGACCTGCTGCAGTCGGCCAACATGCACTTGCAGGAGGATTGTGAGACGGTGGCGACGTGTGAGTCATTGTGCTGCTGTTGCATTCTGCGCGAGGGGGTTGACGCGTTCTCTCAATCGGCAGGGATAAAGCGGACAAAACTCCGGCTGCTACGTTGTCGGGCACGCATGGTGATGAGCGACCGGGATCGGCTGAACGATGCGCGGGCGGATGAGAATCTGACGGACGTGGTGCGGATACCGGCGCCGTGGGACGCGTTGCCGTCGTGAGATTGGGATGACAGGACTATTTTTTACGGGTCATAATCATCTGTCTATCA